GATTCTTCTCCGATCCCAACCAGCACAGCGCATGCGTCAGCTGTTTTCCCGCGCGATTAATCGCAGTGCGTGCATTGAGCGTCCTTTCAATATGAATGTTTTATTTGACCCCCCCCTCCCCATACCCTAAATTACAGGATTTGACACCCCCCCCCATACCCTAAATTACAGGATTTTCACAAAGGGTGGCGTTAAAAAAAATTCCGCTCCTTAGGGGGGCGGCAGCTTCAAAAAGGTTGAGAATCACTGATCTAGGCAAATGTATAAGCCAAGTGCCACTGGCTTTCAGAGAACATATCAATACCTCAATAAAACCAAGGCATGCTTGTGTTTTAGTCTTTATCATCCATGTAAATATTGCAAGGGTCTGTAATTGCATTTGACAGCTTGACAATAGTGTTAATAACCCCTGCCCTTCTCAAGATCCTGGAGAGGAGAATCTTCCTTCAGCTGCACTGGCTTTACAGAGTAATACATTTTCTCACTGCTTTTTAATTATTTTCAAGACAATGGCTAGGTTAATACTGTCTGTGTGTGTGTGTACATGCATGCCTTCGAGACAGTTTTGCCTCCTCAGCAAGTCCCTGCAGTTTTCTTGGCAAGATTTTTGGAAGTAGTTTGCCATTGCCTCCTTCCCAGGGCTGAGAGAAAGTAACTGGCCCAAAGTCACCCAGCTGGCTTTGAACCTAAGGCAGGACTAGCACTCCTGGTCTCTCAGTTTCTAGCCTGGTGCCTTTAACCACTACACCAAACTGGCTCTCTTATACACTGTACTAAGCCATAATGTGGTTGGTTGGGTTTTGGCTTCAGACAATGTGAGAACCCAGAAACTGTGGCTTTTAAACTATGATTGATGGCTCAGCATGGCAAATGAATCTGGCTACTGTAGCTTGTTCAACAAGTTGTGATTAAAACAAATAATAGTTTATTGTGATATATGAACCCAGTCAGTCTGAGGACAGAAGCGTCTTTGATTTTCTTCAGTTCCAGAGAAAATTAGAGCCTTTCAGTGACAAAGCGCTGCACTTTCAGAGGGGATGAGGAAGGGTTATGGTCTCCAAGCTTGGGGAAGTTTCTTGCTCCAAGAACTTTTGAAGCAGATAATGACAGAGACTAATCTTCCAGCTGCTCCCAAGCTCAGAAATGGAGGAGAAATGGAGCACCATCCATCTACTTACACAGAACTTCAGAAACAGAGAAACTCTAGAGATAAGAGAAATGGGGGCCCCATAATCCTCCAGAATGAACTCTAATTCCTATTAGCAACAACCCATCATGTTTGGGGATGGTGGGAGCTGGAGTATACCATCCCCCTCTCTCGAGGTATTTTGCAACCACTTTTTTTTCAGACAAATTTTGGCCAACCCAAAGTAGTCCCCTATGGATCCCAAGTAGTTCACCTAGATGCTATTAACATAGGTTGCCATATACTACTGATAAAGTCTTCCTAGCTGTGACACTGCTGGCTTTCTGACTGATGTCCATATCATGTTCAGATTCCAAAGCACTTCCTTACAGGTTTCCTCCCCATCTCCAAGCATACTGGGATTAAGAAGAATCATCTCCCTGCTTTCCTACTATTCTATCAATCTAGTCCCCAAACAAACAATGTTATAAATCTTTATTATTCAATAAGTAACAAACAGAAAAAGCAAGAAACCAAGCACAAGTGAAATTACCATCTGCTCATCCTCCCGGCTCTCACTGGAGTCCTCGGCCTTCCTATGAGGAGCGGGAGCATGGGCTCCAGCTGCTCGCTTGCCAGGGTCTGTCTCCTCTCCCAGTCGTTCACCATCTGCAAAAGAAAAGGCAGATGCATTGCAAGCCATGAGAAGACAACACACAGAGCCAAGGCCTGCACCAAACCTCACCCTGTCCGAGTTCCAGACAGCAAGGACCGCGCCAGTCCTTCACAGCCAGTGAGAGGGGATACTGGAATTAATCCAGTGTTGAGCAAGCAACCCACGTGATTATTTTTATGTTTCAAGTCATGTTTTAGGTTTTTAATAGCCACTTTGGAATAGCACAGAATATAAATGCCTGTAAATAAATAAATGCATACACACACACATGATCCTTTCTGAAATTAATCTGCAGAAAGAGCAAACTACATAAGGGTTAAAATGACCACAACCACAACCTGATAGTTCCTCAAAAAAAACCCCATGGTGTTTTGGTCACTAACTCTCTCTGGCTACTCTCCATCCCTTCCAAATGGTCAGTTTATGAAGAAATGGTCCCCGGTTTCTTCAAGCTTGCTTTCTGGTGTGTCAGTATTGTAATTTAAAAGCAAGTAGAAAACAAGGCTACATTGTTCTTCCCAATAATGCACCATGTTTCTATTAAGTTGATTTTTTTTCAAGAGTTTAAAAAATTCTTTGAAGACAGTTTGCTCTCTCTCACCCAACCACTGAGTGTTTCTCTTCCAGCTAATAAAAAGAAAAGCAGGACACAATCACTTCTGACAAAGCTGAAGACTTATAAATGTATTACGTGGGGAACAAATATTGGGTGATTAACACTTGAAATAAGCTAGTGTTTGTACAGTGTTAACATGAGAAATTTCCTGCAAAGTGATAACTTTATGATGTGGGGAGAACATGTAGAGAAAAAAACTTACAGCAAGAAAATGTTCGTGTCCAGACAAAAAACCAAAATTCACTGGAGCTAGTTAAGAGGGTTATAGAAATCATTCACAGATTTCTTTTCAATCAAAATGGCATGAATTGCCAGAATGTCATCCACTGAAGCACCATTGGACATTT